TATATATATATATATATATATATATATATATATATTTATATATATATATAAATATATATATATATATCAATTGTCAATTAAGGAATAAAAGCATGACTGCGCTGTTGATTCGAGTGCCAAGCCATCGTACATGCGAGCGACAAGAAAGAAAGTTGCCAGCTAGCAGTCATGTACGTCTCTTATTTGCACTTCTTGGTTCGGTTACCAAGAGACAGGCGCACGCATGTCACACCATATGACTGTCGTGTCTCTCCATTCGGCTATAATAATTTTACTACTACTACACAAGCGTATTTATAGAAATTGTCAAACCTTGCCGTCACATTTGTGTTGCAAAACATGCATTTATTTCAAAATATCTATTTGACTAGATAAATGATTTAATTTGAAACTGAATTAAAAACAAACGCTCACCGAGTTTTTACTTTTTTTGGGGGTTGAGAGTGGAGTGTGGAGACACCCCCAGAGAGAGCGTGTGTTGCGACTTGCGAGTCGCGACTCTCGTGTGAATCGGTGAAGACTAATAGAATTATGGCTATGCGCGCGGCTTTTCAAGTTTTCCTGACAACCCCCGAGAGACAATAATATAAATACCACTACACCTCCCATCAACTGAAATTAAATACTTTAAAATAATAGCTAGTATAGAATATAGAGACCATTCTACTGGTGTATAATTTAGTGATTAGCACACGATGGCGTACACCCACCCATACGATCCCTACCAACAACAGCAGGGGGCATCTCTGACTGTATCAGGGTACCCTACCGCACCCCAGGGATTCGGTGGCGCACAGCAACACAGGCCGCAACAGTCTTCACAACAACCACAGCAAGGCCAGGCAGGTGAGTTCCCCCCGCAATGGGCTGGACAACAAGTCCCACCACAGAACATGCAGCAACAGCAACAGTATCAGCAACAACAGCAGTACCAACAACAACAGTATGTACAGCCCCAGGCATACGCACAACAGTACCAACAACCTCAGGGCCAACCCATGCCATTTGGCGGTGGATACGGTCAGCAGAAGGCCGGCAAGAGAGACAATACAGGTAAAGAAGAACCTGGAAACAAGGTGTTTGTGGGAAACTTCCCTACTACCTGGACTGAGCTTGAGCTGCGACAGGTGCTTGCTGAGCAAGGACAATTAACCGAGCTTACTATACTATTAGATAGAAATACCGGTGGTTCGCGTGGTTGCGCCTTTGCATCCTTCACTACCAGAGAGTCTGTCGAGCGTTCTGTGGCCGATTTGGATGGCAAGAAGACTATACATGGTAAGTAAAGTCATCTCGTTTTGTGAAATGTTCTGGTCGTATGGATACCACACGTTAAAAGTGAAATGTTTCGTATGTGTAAACACTACTGTGATTTTTTTTATGCTGTTTGTTATAGGTTGCTCTAGGATTCCACCTCAGGGATCTTTCTCTTGTGGCTGTAGTGTTAGGCGTATATTGACAATACACAGCTTTATAGACCGTACAGTTTCTGTCTATCACGAGTTTATTTTCCTTCTTATGTGGGCTGAGATTATACACGAGAGTATAGTGGAAAACCTAGCTAGCTATATTTTGGGAAACTATTGATAGCTGTTTATCTATACATGTATTCTTTATGAGAGTTGTGTATCGGTGATATACTATTGTTTCTAGTTTGTGTCTTACAACCTGATTTCTTTATATAACTTAGAAGCGAAACAGCTGGCTTACAATTTAGGTTCGTTTCGTATGGTTGACAATCCAGTGCTTCGCTCTATGATATGGTGCTGATATGAACGCGTTAGATATAGATATGATGATTTGTATCTAGACCATTGTTTAACATTTTGAATCAATAGCTGACAAATACACATCAATTTGATTTCGTTTTACATCAAGGCATGTCTGTGCCCATGAAGGTCAAGCTTGTCACTGCCAAGAACGGCGACACCAACAAATTATTCGTAGGACTACTGGACCGCAATATGGGTGAAGCTGAGCTTAAGGCCATGTTCCTGCCGTACGGCGAGATCGAACACGCCACCGTTCTACGCACACCTACTGGTGCCAGCAGAGGGTGTGGGTTCGTTCTCATGTCCACCACACATGAAAGTCAGGCTGCTATCGCCGCACTACACGAGAGTGTTACCCTGCCCGGCAATGTGTACCCTATGGTGGTGAAGTTCGCTGATACCGACAGACAAAAGCAGGCAAAGGTGTGTGTGTATTGGCTGGTAGTACGCGCTGGTTGGTATTAGGGATGGAAATTTAGGTAAATGTTGTTGCGTATGTGGATTAGTATGGTGTACAGGAATATACAAAGTTTGTAGATGGCTCTGATCAGATACCTTGCGTTGAGATTCGTCTCTATGGGGTTTATTAGATCGAGCTTGGGCGTCAAATGTCTCACCCGCAATATTACATACAATATACGTTGCCACGCAGAAAGCCATGAACCAAGTACCACAACAACAACAACAACAACAAAACGGCTGGTACGGCTACCCTCAAGTGCAGGGTATGTATGGACAGCAAATGGCCATGCCCATGCCGCAGTACATGCCCCCAGTCTCTGGCGGTGCTGACGCAGGGCCCGAGGGAGGTAATCTGTTCATCTATCACCTGCCCCAAGATTGGACCGATGCTATGCTCATGCAAGCATTCAGTCCTTTCGGCAGAATTGTGAGCGCGAAGGTATGATCTATTTGGATGTTTACGCTGTGCTCGGGTGTGGGCCGAAAGTGTTAATATAGTTGTGCACCTTTTGTTAGCTATCAATGTAATTGTCGATCAAGTATGTACACATAGTGGCGTACAGTGGGTGTCAGTGCTCACTGCACATATTTCTCGTCATTTCGAGTCTGCTTCCCTTGTAAATATAAATATGCCGGAGTTAAGGTACCGACCTGTGGTAGCCTTTGACGAACATAGCCCAGCTAGTTACGCAGGGCATATTTCTATTGTGTATAATCAACCTGTCACAGTGTGGAAATGTGTCTTGTCTGACCGCTTGTCACCAGTGGCCGTCAAATGATTTGTAACGTATTAAATTTGAATCATAGCCTATGCTGTATGTTAAACATCTGACGATATACTTTGTATAGACGTAAATTGTTCGTTCCCTGCTTTGCTAGTCTTTTGTTCGTTAAAATATATTCTGTTTCCGGATGCGTTGAAATAGTGTCGTGTATCTATGGCACATTGTTTCTGCATATTGATTTGTCTGCCGATGTTTCTATCAACCCGCCTAGTATCATTTGCGTTACGTATATCATGTAGTGTATTGTAAAACCCGTTTTGCAGAAATATTGTATTTGTATTTATTATTTATTATCTATAATTTATTTCTATGTAGGTGTTTATCGACAAAGCAACTGAATTATCTAAGGGGTTCGGATTTGTCAGTTATGACAATGCAACGTCAGCTAGTACATCAATCCAGGCTATGAATGGTTACCAAGTTGGCAACAAACGCCTAAAGGTCCAATACAAGAAGCCTCGCGCGCCTAAGAGCTTTTAATTTACACCAGGATGTACATGAACGAACATAGAAATTGCGTTTATAGATATATATTCTAGCGGGCGGTTAGTTTTTGGGAGTGAGTATATCGGGTCTGTGTGGTTTTCAATATTTAAAGACAGTTTATTCTATAT